GAAACGGCAATGGCAACGTTTGGGAGCTTAGCAACATTGTCTGCGTTGCCTACGAGGTATGCCACGGCGTCAAAGCCTTCGATCTTCACGCGACTAAAGAAGTCTGCCATAGCGCCCGTGGTCTTCATCCTCCTTTTCTTCAGCCAGTCCTGTTCCTGCTGCGACAGCTTTGCAGCCGATCGAACAGCCGGTTTGGTAGATGGACAGTCGACTTCTGCAGGGGCATAGCCGTCTGGCGCATTTGGCAGAGCTCTGACTGCAACATCTGCGGCGGCATTAGGTATGCCGGCTCCAACGGTCGCTGTAGTATAAATTAGAAAGGGAAGTTCCAAGGGGAAAGGAATTGATCATCCGTAAATAGGCATGCTCAAACTCACCAGGAAGCAAGCTTGCTAGGACAAATGTTCCCAGCGTTGCTGGGATGAACATCATCGTAGCAGGGTTAGGCCTGCAACACCAAGGTAATGGACACTAACGTTGACAAATATTATATATATTTGAAGAAATAAAAAAATAGTATATAGTCCGCAATCAGCTAGTTAGCTTTGAGAAGAAACAGAGAACAATGCCATACAAGCGAGCGCGGGGGAGAATGTTAATATACATATGTATGTAGACGAGGAAGGATGAAAATTGATGCGTGGGCGCTTCCGGACTGTGACGGCGCCAGCTGAGAAATAAAAAAAGAACTGTTGCTATGGGTCGTCGGTGCAGCCAGCTGCTTAGGACTAACTTACTTTCCGACCAGGCGACTCGTTAGAGGTTCCTTTGAACGGCTAAAATTAACCTTGACTTTCAGCTGGTGGGTGATGATATCAGAGCAAAACTATAACTATCGAAGCTGTGCACACACATTACGGATGCTTAATCGTGTTAAAGACTGCGCCATGTCCCGCGATCGCCGTCAGCCTCATGTTGCGCCTAGTTTTAGGTCAGTCCTTCCTGCTTAAGCGTACACAGCATAAACTGCAGACGGTCATATCCAACAATCGACAGTACGGAGTATCTCACATGAATTTTGAAGTGTGCAGTGGGGGACACAAAAGCCGTGCAAGGTCCCCGATAAAAGAGTAGGCGGATGATCCATCTAGCTGGGATACGAAGCCCAGAGAACGCTCCTAGGTAGAAGGGCGTCGTTCATCCTTCAGCCCGGAAGACTCGTCTTCTTTTTTCAGGCATATTCTCGAATTCGGCTCCGGTGGCTGAGCGAGTGACCAACCAGGACGCAGCGTCGCGTGGAGGCTGGTCGAGGTTTCTGAGTTATTCCTGCCCAGCCCTGTCGCACTAGGGAGATGAACAGGTGGCAGATGGATACCCTCATCCATAGTTAGGTAGTCTCCGACTCGCCCTACCCGAACATCTCAAACATCAGAGCGCAGAAGATCGCCTGTTTCGGCATTTGGTCGTTGCTATCAATATAATGACAGGAGAGTCCACCAGCCAGCCAGAGTCGGCCGGTCAGAGTCAACAGTAACTAGTAGCCAGTCAGTCCAGTCGACTTGATCATGCAGCTTGGAATTGAGAGACTTGGGTGCTCTCGCTGTCTGCGGTACCTCCTTGCCCAGCTGACGTGGCCCTCGCGTCTCCCACCCACGTCCAGCGAGATCATGAAGCCATCTAGAACCCTCTCGCTTTGTCTTCTTCCTGTTGTTGTGGTTGTATGGAGGAGTTTGCTGCTGTTGGTTCTTCTTCTTTCTTCTCTGTTGCGTTTTCCTCGCTGACTAAAGAAGATTACTAATATATGACTAGAAATGTATATCACATGATATCATGTGACACTTGTCTTAGTCATTTCTTAATAAACTCCTTAGTCATCCCATCCAAACATGCGTCCACGAGACCCCTTCTTACCCTAGAAGGCAAGAACAACAAAAGCGCGAACGCGCCTTCCCCACACTTTCCTTTTTCCCGCACCCGCCTCCCCTTGGCCCGTGTGCCTTCCCACCAAGAACTATATGCAAATAAGCGCCCAGGATCCCGTTTGATGAAGACATAGAGTGGCTAGTAAGGCGTGTTATACACCCAGAGTTTACTAGTTCTGACCAGGGATCAGGCTGATGCAAGATGTGGAAAGACAGGTACCTGGATACACACTCTATTTCTTCCCCATGTTGAACCCCGGATTGGTCATCACAGCCTCATGATGACAATGACCGTGGGCCATCCATGATCTGACAGTTCCGTTTTCAAGTAGTGGTACCAAGCGTCAGAATATCCAGCGTGAGAGCGCGAGTGACGACAGTGACGACAGTGGTCGGATACTTCCAGCCCAGCACCGTAAAAGACTGAGAAGAAACACCATCGTCCCCAAGACTAGTGATAATCACAGTGTCGGGTGTGGAGATAGCGATGATGTCAAGTCTGGAGGCGGTGACATTGATTTGAGGGACCGCAGAATGCCAGAAAAACGGTTCTTGGTACTTACAGCAGCAGGGACAGCTTGTGATCCAGAGTTGATACCTTCACCAGAGACAAGTTCTGACGTCAGGGACGAAGTTCTTGATCGAGAGGATCAAGGACAGTCGACATCAACCCCAAGTGAACAACAAGTAGATGAAGACTCGATGGCCCACAGTAGTGATCAGCGAATCGCCGAAGGCGAGGAACTTGAGTCTTCACTAGAAGATTTCAAGGAGTCAAGCGGGTCAGAAGACGAAGACAACAGCGGCTCGTTACCACTAGAGCCTGAAGAGGCCAGTGATTCTAACTTTGACCTAGAATCAGAGTCTGAGGCCGCGAGCACCGATACATCCGAATCGAAATTGTTGACCCAGGCATCGAGAAGAAAAATTTTTAGGAAGAGAGGTTCCGTACCTCAGATAAAACGTCGCAGTCGTAGTGCCGAAGATCACTACCACAAACGCTGGCATTCAGGGAAGCCATCAAGGGTATGATATATCAGCAAGTAATACTCCGTAGTGATACTTGAGTAACAACTTAGTACTTTGCTGACACTATGACGTAGGAAGCACAGCAGAACATTGTGGAGAAGTTACGGTACGTATTCTTCTCCTTTGCAGCCACTAGTGATGGTGGTTAACTGTTAGAAATAGCTCTATGTTCTGGGAGGGAGGGAGCGGAAATGGTGCTCGCCTCCCGAGATGTTTTTCGTGCCGCATGTCTGGTGTTGTAAGTAGTCTAAATTTGTTAAGTAGTATGTCTCGTGAGGTCTCACTGACGCTGTATTTTAGACTCCACCATCAGACGGTACCCTGATTGGAGATAGGCTGGAGGAACGACTGCCCTGCGGCTGCCTGTACAAAGTGCGACCGTGCCATTAACCCTGTACTTTGGAGGATTTTGACTGACCCCCGATGATCAGGAAGCCATGTTGGAAATGTACCTCGCAAAAAGAGGAATCCTGACAGTGAGTGGCTAAATAGCTAGTGAACGGCATTTCAGCCGTCCAGGTGACCAGACTGATACTGACGTGTTGATCTCCTTTTTGTTGAGATGTCCAACAATATTCCCCAGAAACAACAGCGCCAGCGGCAAGATAGGCTTGGCCAGCACCATCGCCGCGACCTCATCAATATGTTTGAGCTCTTCTTTGGCCCATTCACTGTGGAGAAGGCATGTAACCGACCCCAACTGATCGAAATCACCAGAAACGGGAAAAGAAAAACACAATTATTGAAGGACAAATGACCATGTTAGCTAACGGCTTTTCTCTCTTCGTATCGACGATACAGATGCTGAACCTGGGCGGTGCTCGGCTCAAAGCTGCCGAAGAAGCAGCTCGGCAAGACGACATGTTGGCCGACCGCCTGAGTAGTACGCGTCTCTAGCCACCAAGTCGGCCGTTTCTTGCGCTTCGAAAGCCATCTCTGTGCCTCAAGTGCATCATTGCATTATGTGTACCATCCCGCCTGCCTGGTTACAAGTCCTTGAAAGCAGGTCGATCACCCCCAGCGAGTCTGCGTACCAAAACGTGCTTTCAAGGTAAAGCATGCATGTTTTACACCACTCATCCTTATTAATAATTCTCCCATCCAGACGTCGATGCCAGTGGAGCCGCCAGAATCTGCGAGGTCTTCTGATGCTCTTCTTTTTGCTTCTTTTCCCCAATAACACTCACCAGCGCGCACTGCTATTTATACTCGATTTTGCCTCCCGCGATCCAGGCCGTCGGGGCCAAGCGCCCAGCGTCTCCACCAACCGGCACCCCGGATTGCCCTTTTTGGCCATCCGCGCCAGCTTATCCCCACGGCGTCTCCACCGACCTTAAATCCGAGCTTAATAGGAGGAACTCGGTTTGCATGGTTGCTGGAACATTGATGTAAGATTGAGTGCTGTAGAGTTATAAAGTGACTAGTACTGTTGATGTTTCCTGCTGCTGCGCTGGCCAGAACGTCAGCAGACCTGCTCCTGTTTCAACACTCGGTCCGTTGGCCGCTGGAGAATGGCTACTTGGGAGGCTTGCTCATTATCTAGCTAAACTAGAAGACTAGCAGTCAAGTACTAAGCAACTGACTAGTAGTTTACCCCATACTTCCGTGCTCCGGCCATTCCAGGCTCTGTCTGTTGGCTGGCCTGCCCAGGTACTGCCTTATCCGGCCGGTTGCCCCGTCTTCGGAGTACACGATACCGCTCTGGGGATTCCGGCCTCGTTGCCCTGTTTGCTTTGCTCAGGAATCAACAGGAATGAGCAGGGCCATGCCATGTCTCGTACACATCAACTACCGTCAATGGTGCCTTGTCCTCCTTCCTTGATCGGCTGAATGGCAAAGGGGGGAAGGCCTGGCCCAACACCCGCCATCCTGTCCGCAGCGCCTCGTTTAACCCAACTGCGAGTACATAAATAAGGTCACACGGATCCCATCTTGTCTTCCCTGACCTCCCTTTCGCTCACTGACAGACCAAAACTCATTCATCGAATCCCCCTCACTGGCTCGTATTTGCGTTGTGTTGTACTCAGGCAACTATAAAAAGCCTTACTATTCTTCCTTTGACTACTTTGGCATCTTTTCCCCCGTTAAACCCACAGACAACCGTTCGGAATGCAACTCACCAATATGGCTGATTCCAAACAAATACTGGCCGTGTCGGCCCCTGGTGCAAAGCCGCCAGTTCTCTTGGGCACAAAGGAGCGCCTCCCTGAGTTCCAGCTTGCTAATAAGGTTGTGCTTGTGTCCGGAGCTGCCAGAGGCCTTGGGTTGACCCAGGCTGAGGCCCTGCTAGAAGCGGGAGCTGTTGGTATGGATCATTGCCTTCCAATCTTCAACAGCTCCCTCATGCTGACGTTTCGATAGTCTATGCACTGGACCGTCTCGAAGAGCCCGTAAGTCATGAATCCACTACTATTCCACTCTGCGAACTTCCAGCTAAACGTGCCAAAATCAGTCCGAAGACTTCCACCGAGTGAAAATCCGCGCCACAAAGGAACTCAACACTGAGTTCCATTACCGACGCATCGACGTCCGTGACACCGAGGACCTTGAGAGAATCGTGCAGGAGATAGCTGACAAGCATGGCCGCATCGATGGTCTGGTTGCTGCTGCGGGCATCCAGCAAGAAACTCCCGCACTCGAGTACACGGCCAAGGATGCAAACACCATGTTCGAAGTCAATATCACCGGTGTCTTCATGACTGCCAAAGCAGTTGCTAAGCAGATGATTCGCTTTGGAACCAAGGGCAGCATTGTCATGATTGCCAGCATGAGTGGCACGATCGCCAACAGAGTATGCTCCCCACCTCCGCCTCCACCTCTGAATGATTACCTAGTCAGACCATATCTGACCGACTACAGGGTCTAATCTGTCCAGCCTACAACGCTAGCAAGGCCGGTGTCATCCAGCTTGCTCGCAACCTTGCTTCTGAATGGGGCCAGTACGGCATCCGTGTCAACACCATCTCCCCGGGCTACATCGTGACCGCTATGGTTGAAAATCTATTCGTCGAGTTCCCAGAGCGCAAGACCCAGTGGCCAAAGGAGAACATGCTCGGCCGTCTCAGCGAGCCCTCAGAATACCGAGGCGCAGCCGTCTTCCTTATCAGCGACGCCAGTAGCTTCATGACCGGAAGCGATCTCAGAATCGACGGTGGCCATGCTGCATGGTAACACCATCTTCTAAGCTGGTTTTCCCAACAATTCACTCTCTTTATTTTCCTATTTCTCACCTCATTTAGCGACGTTTGCGATGTTTCTTTGTCTCCATTGTTCGTTTTGTTCAGTTCACATGCTTTGACTGGGTTCCCGCATAGGTCTTTTTTTCCCTTCGTTTTATCAATAATTATGGTTGCCCATCTCTGCACTTAATAGATGATAATTGGTGGGGGGGTGGTCGGGGCAGCTGGAATGCATAGGTGTAGCTGACATGGCTGGATGTTCTGGGCCGGGGGCGATATTTGAATCCGGCCTGGCGTTGCATGGGGGGTGTCAGTTCTGAAGGGCCAGAATGTTGCTAGTATGATAATAACAAGCAAATAAACAAGATCAATGTCCTTTTTCCTGCATCCTGCTGCATCTAAAGTATGCAGTCTAAGGTAATATGAATGGAGTATAGACATAACGAAGTTCTTCCATCGTCTAGCAGTAGAATAATAATAGCAAGAAGTTGAAGCAAAGAAAAAAGGAAAAGAAACACTCTAGTTGAAGATCACGAGCCGAGGCTTGGTCCATGCTGACTAAGCAGACAACCTCCCTCCCCCCAAAAAGCAAATATTAATTTAGACAACACAACGCAGGCAACATTCACCAACCTTCAGCTAGGGAATATAGAAAAAAACGCTGGACTAGCATATCAATCAGAGTTTCGCGTTCTACAATCTTCCTATTCGCCTGTCGAATACTCAGACTCAGCTACTCAGCTTCTCCCACTGACAACAATCGGCAACAGCTCCCCGGCGCCATGGCTGAACAAGTGAGTACCTCATTAGTCAACTCAGCTCCCTAGTTAGCTAGATACATCGGTCATAAGGTACTGATACTATTCGATGACTCTACTAGACCAAGAGCCATATTGCTGACCCTCCCACTGGTCTGTACTTCTTCTACGGCACCTTGATGGACCCGACGCTCTTGGTCCAGCTCCTCCACCTAGATAAGCTCCCTGACCTACGCCCCGCGTCGATCAAGGGGTACAAGTTCAAGCTTTGGGGCCCCTACCCGGCACTTCTGGACGACGAGCACGATGATTCTGCCGTGATTGAAGGAGCTGTGTATAACGTCGAGTCGGTAGAGCATGCGCACGCCCTCGCAAACTATGAGACCAAGAATTATACTACGGGCACCACCACGGCGTATTACTCTGACGGACAGCAGCCAGAGACTGACCAGGTTACCATCTATGTGTTTGCGGGCAATCGGAGAGACTTGACGGAGGGAGATTTCAATCTGGAGAGATGGATGAAAATGATGGGCAGGGGGAAGGTGTTGGATGATTTGGCTGCTAAGAAGGCTGGGTCTGCTAAGAAGCCCGAGTCCTCTTGAATAATAGAATGGTGCTAGTCTTACAATGGCGGGTAAAAGGGAATTTCTTCGGTCTGAACGCTTATGATAGACGGGCGAGGGTTATGCAGGCAACTCCGGGTGAGCTATGGGAATCAACCATTGTTCAATGCGTTTCTTATTCTCCTTTGTGTCTGTAGAATGGAGCTGATTCGAGTGTCGACAGCGTCTTTCGCCACCTGATAATGAACCGTTGACAAGCTCCCGTCATTATAGCCGAGGAAAGGCTTGTCTCTCCCTGAAAGACACCGCGCGCACACACTACGGAGTATATCCGTACCACCTAACTTCATTATGGCCAGAACAAGAGAGTAGGTATCGTCATTGTTGTACCCTGTTCAAAGCAGCCCCTAGTTAATTGGCCACCAACGCCCTAGGCAGTGGCATTATCAATGACCTATTCCTCTCTTCAAAGACGCATTGTTAAGCGGCGGCCTCTAGCCGGGAGGCTCCCTGAGCCGCCTCGTCTCTTCTCTTCCGCTTCCGTCACACGGCCGGAGCCGTCTGGCGTGACGGGTGAGCTCATGGCCGCAACCGCAGTGGATGGTCTCCATCCATGTAAACAAACAAAACCGCCCAAGCAGCGGGAAACACGACGGCAAGGTTCGCCGGGAGCCATGGGTCGCCTGCATCCCGAGCCAGGCTACTGTACCTCGAGCCCGCGTTCGGCCCTGCAGCGGTATCTTGCGCCATGCTCCGTACACTCCGTAACCAACAGCGACTCCAACTCCTCCCCTCGAGTCCTGTCCTCTCTTCTAGCAACCACCCAAATTATTATATAACGAATAATAATAATACACACATAATCAAGCCAGCGAGGAGAGAGAAAAGCAAAGAAAGTGACACGTCGATCCGGCGGCGGGCTTACCTAAGCGCTCTCCACCGCCCGTTGGGCGAAAGAAATATTTACATTATTATTATCATTGTGCGTGGTTGGCGGCCGCCGACGTTCGACTTCACCTCTTCACCTCTTCACCTCTGCGCCTCGCAACCGCATCCGGGCTCCCTTCAGGCGGAAACGGAAGACATAGAGCCTGCAGGAGAAAGCTCGCAAAGCCGCCTGCTGCAGACAAGGGTGCACCCAGAGACTGGTGAAACTTGCCCTTTTTCTTGCTTCCGCCTGCTGTTTGTTTCAGCAGGACAACAACGAAAAGGGAGTTTCAACCGCGTGTCAACACTGGCATATTTATATCAGACAGTCTGCTCTGCTTCTCGCTGATATCTGCATCTTTTTCTTCTCTGTATCGCTGCATTATCTACTTGCTCTTCTATCTCTACCCCCGGTTTGCCTGTTTATCTCCCTTCCCAAGGAGCTCTATACGCGGCTGTTGGCCTACTCTATTTGAGTGAAGAGAAAATTACCGAGTACGTGCAGCGACTTGATATCAGGCCTGATTGGCTGCTCTTCGGGCTTTTTTCCTTCATTTGTTTTTTACTTCGAATACAAAGTTGAACTCGGGGTTATTGAACTAGCATCTGAGACATTTGCTCACCATGTCTGAACGCGGTGGTTACCGAGGCCGCGGCCGTGGTGGCGGAGATCGTGGTGACCGTGGAGGAAGTCGGGGCCGCGGTGGCGGTGGCCGTGGTGGTCGTGGTGGTCGCGGCGGAGGAGACTTCGATGGCGGACGTGGCCGTGCAACCTTCACTGGCGGCAGAGGAGGACGCGGTGGAGGAGGTCGTGGACGCGGTGGTTCTCCAAGCATCTATGGGTAATTGGACTTTTCATATTGTTTTGACACTTTTTTTTTTTTTTTTGTTTTTGTTTTGGGTCATTTGTGATTGATCATGGAAATGATCAATCTCCGGTATGAGACTTGCTTGTCGTTTGAACTAATGCGTTGATGTGGTATATAGCGAAGGCCATCCTGTTCCTCCACCAGATGCCGAGGTTCAAAAGATCGAGGATACCTACATCAAACAACGCAAAGGGTTGAGCCTTGACACTCTCAAGCTCTCCCAGGCTTTCCCCCTGAGACCGGCCTATGGTACGCGTGGTAACCCCGTGGTTCTCTGGGCAAACTACTTCCCACTGGTCCCTCAGACAGGCATCACTCTGTACCGCTACACCGTCAATGTCGGGGTCGAGGGCAAGCAGCCACCTGGCTACCGGAAACTTAAGCGGATCTTTGAAATTCTGCTGGAAGACCATTTGTCTGCCTTCCAAGGTCACATAGCCACTGATTTTAAGGCCACCTTGATCTCGACCACCTCCTTGGATTTGACGTCTGAGTCGCTCGAGGTTGCATATCGGGATGAATTTGACGCCGTTGCTGAGCCGAATGCCCCCAGATACCCGCTCCGTATCGTTGAAATCGCCCCGTTGGTCTTGGATGAGCTTCTCAAGTTCCTCAAGTCCCCAGGAGCCGATGCATTCGGCCAGAGCAAGGAAGAATACCTCCAGGCCCTCAACATCGTCACCGGCCACTTCCCCAAGATCTCCCTTGATACCTTTAATGTTGGCCCTAACAAACATTTCAAGACGAAAACGAAGGACATTTTTGATCTTGGAGGAGGTCTCAATGCTTACCGGGGCTATTTTGTCAGCACTCGAGCTGCGACGTCTCGTCTCCTGGTCAATGTGCAAGTCAAGCACACGACTTGCTTTTACGACGGACCCTTGGTCAATCTGATGACGAGCACACACAACTTATTCGGTCTGAAGCAAATGAACAACTTGCTCAAGGGCGTCAAAATCTCGGTCACCCATCTTCCACCAAAGACCAATAAAAAGGGCGAGAGCGTCAATCGCACAAAGACTATTCTCGGGCTTGCTACCGCTAAGGACGGTGCAAGCTGTGAATTCCCACCAAAAGTTGAACACTCGGGCGCTGGACCAGCTGATGTCCAGTTTTACATTTCAGGAAGTGAGCACTTCGAAACCGGCTACCATTCTGTTTATGACTACTTTAAAGTCCGTATGTATTACTGTTTCTTCCCTCTATCTTTTTTTAATACCCCTTCATCGGTTGATACAACGCTAACTATCTAAGCTAGGTTATAAAATCGAGCTGGACATGCGTTCTCCTGTGGTTAATATCGGCACGATGGCCAACCCCAGCTATCTTCCTGCTGAGGTCTGCATAATTGAGCCAGGCCAGTCAATCAGATCCAAGCTTAGCCCTGCTCAGACCCAAAAGATGATTTCTTTTGCCGTTAGACGTCCAAAGGAAAATGCTGAGGCCATCGTCAACCACGGGGCCCAAATTATCGGTGCAACCCTCCAGCCTCAAGCCACAGTGAGTTCCTTTTCTTTTGCGATGCCTTGATGAGCGTCGATGCTTGCTTCGAAGTGATTCCCACAATTATACTAATACTTACTCCCAGGACACCATGGGCATCTCCTTTACCCCCAAGCTGATCACGGTTCCGGGACGCGTCTTGAGCAACCCTTCTGTTCGTTATAAGGGTCAGGGTGTGGCTGCCATCCGCTCTGGTAGTTGGAACCTCAACAATTTAACCTTTAGAGTTCCTGGCGCTCCCTTGAAGGATTGGGCGTATGTCATGATTGGAGATGGCCACATCCCTTCTGATCCAGATCGCGCCGTCACGGACTTTATCAACACCGCCAGGGCACAAGGCTTAACCTTGTCACCTCCACTGAAGGCTGGCGGAAACACTGATGGTCTCGCGTGGGTGGTGAATTACAGAGACCCCGGCAATGTCGAGAAGAACGTGGATGAGATGTTTAGACGAATCAAGTCAAATGCCAATCTCAAGAACGCGAGACTACTGTTAGTTATCCTTCCAAATGATAACCCGACAGTATACAAACGGATCAAGCTCAATGGCGAGGTCTTCCATGGCATTCAAACCGTCTGTGTCATCATGTCGAAGTTTACCAAGTCGAGCAATGTGCAGTACCATGCCAACGTTGCCATGAAGTTCAATTTGAAACTCGGAGGTACAAACCATGTCCTTGATGATTCCAAAATGGGAATCATCGCAGGTGGCAAGACGATGGTTGTTGGCATTGATGTCACTCACCCTGCTCCAGGATCATCTGAGACTGCCCCTAGTGTTGCTGGCATGGTTGCCAGTATTGACAAAACCCTCGGCCAATGGCCAGCAATTCTGAGATTGCAGCGTGAGGCTAAGCAAGAGATGGTCGATGATCTCACTGACATGCTCAAGTCCCGCCTTCGCCTTTGGCATAAGAAGAATGGCGTGTACCCTGAGAACATCCTTGTCTACCGTGACGGTGTCTCGGAGGGTCAGTACGGCAAGGTCCTGCATGAAGAGCATCCCCGCCTACTCAGGGCCTGCAAGGAACTTTACACCGGCGGAGTAACCGCGAAGCTGCCTCGAATGACTATCATCGTTGTTGGGAAACGGCACAACACTCGTTTCTACCCAACCAAGGCCGAAGATTCCGAGAAGGACAATGCTCGCTGTGGCACTGTTGTTGACCGCGGTGTCACCGAAACTCGTAACTGGGACTTCTTCCTACAGGCCCATACCGCCCTTCAAGGAACTGCTCGTCCTGCGCATTACTATGTTGTCCTCGACGAGATTTTCTCCCGCCGCCAGAACCCGGCATATCCAACCGTCGCTGACGAGCTTGAAGATCTCACTCACAACATGTGTTACCTCTTCGCTCGTGCCACCAAGGCTGTCAGCATCTGCCCACCGGCGTACTATGCCGATCTTGTTTGCGAGAGAGCAAGAGCTTATCTCAACTACTTTTACGACGAGAACCTTAGCCAGAAGTCTGGATCGGCCTCTGTTGCTTCCGCAAAACATCTCCAGCCTCACCCCAACGTTATTGATACCATGTTCTACATGTAATGTGGTATTTATAACCACCAACAACACGATGATGGACTCCCTGGGCATATCTATACTCCATCCTCCTTTACCACTGTTCGGGTTATTTCCTTTTTCCTCCTTTTCTACTGCGTCGTATCTTTTTTTTTCTTTCTATCTTTTGAACTCAGCCTACTTATGTTTTGCTCTATCAAGCTACGCCAAATTGTGACCCG